GTGTACCTGGTACTGGCAGAAGCTAGATAACATGTAATAATACGCCTAGGACGTGGCAAAGAAAATGAAATATCATAGAAACATACTTATGAACTTATGGAAAAGCAATAAAGATACTGAGTATTGAGTATTGACATTATTTGTAATGTGATTGAATTCCAAATTTAGCAGCAGCTAGACTATGCAAACTGTAAAGTTAATTTATAAATAGTATAAAAGTTGTCTAGAAACTGCAGCCGTTTTTTTGTTTTTTTGTAAGGTTAACCTGGGCGGTCTTGGACAGGAAAAGAGACTTAAAAACCGCGTGGCCTGAGTCACCCGTGAAACACTTAGGAAGGGATAAGTACTTATTGTTTTAACTACCCAGTATAACTTTTTGTACATTTATGTTAGTGCATGAAATGCACAATTAACTCTTTACTTCGATTTTAGACTATAAATTCATTCTATTAGACTTTAGAATTAAATATAGAAATTCACATAAAGTATTAATCAACACGATAATAATGGAATTACAATAAAACATTAATATTATTTGTCTTAGTTAGAATACTTTACACAAATCATGTCGAATGTTTCAATAAATTACTATTTTGTAATTGGATTTGTTGGTAGTGTTAGCTACTGCAGTGTCACTCAGAGTTATTTCCTTTGAAACGAATTTTATTAGTGTTATGAATTGGGTAGTTTTCTAGTTCAAAAATAAATTACTAAGACTTTTCACTATGATGAGTTATTAAAATATAAATATTCCTTTATACATTACTTTAAAAGCTGGATCATTTTTTAAAAATTTAATATTCTATTGGACTAAAAGTGAAGGAATGTATGGTTTTTTACATTTAAATAAAAATTGTAGGTCTCGCAATAGTAACTTTCCAATTAAAATATTGATTTTGACTAGTCGGAAACTACCGGATTCTGTAAGTCTTATGAATTCTGTTAGTTTTGTGTAGGAATAATAATTTCATCATTAAATCGACCACCCCACGTTCGTTGTAAAACATAGGCATCTTTATGGGACACTTCGACATTAAGCGAGCATCGGATCAATTGACAGTAAGCAATTGGCGCCGCCAATGGACATCCACAACATCGATGAATTACAAGTGTGGGGACGGCCTTTTGGGGTTAGGCATTTGACGATTTTTCACAATGGGGTCGCATGCAGAGGAAGGACCTGGGCATCTGGTAACTTCACTCACAACAGCGAGACAAAACTCTCTCTTCGTTTCTCGCCGGTTTTCTGTAAAGCCGTTGTTTGTATATCTGCGGTCTAGACGACCGGCCAAGTCGGTGGTTAATTGTTAGAAATCAGATTTAGGTTTATGTATCGGTTTATCTCCGCATTATAGCCGTCGGGAAATATATCAGAAGAACATTGCCAATTGTATAAACAAATATTTGGATGTAGTTTTAGTAGTGGTGTTACATTCTTTTATCTTCTCTAATAAATTGCTTCTTTCTTATTAACTTCTTAAAATTACAGTATCAGCCTGAAAATAGCGAAAGAGAAAGGGCCTTTTCTGTCACAGGGAAGTGCGTACCAATCACTACACTATCTACAGGCGCATTGGTGATTACAAACTGATAATTAGAGATTTTAGGCCATCGTTTACACTAAAATCCCTTAAAACACGGGCGGCACCGATTGGTTACAATTAGATAACCCCTTTGCTCGTTACTTGAAAAATGTTACCTATTACATCTATGTATATATTTCAAGTCAATTACCATCCATACATTGTTGATTTAACAAGGTTTCGAATTGACCAAATTGCAACTTCGTGTTGCAATTCACAACGTATATAACAATGACTGTTTTAGATATCAACTGAGGCTTTTTCTTGAAAGTTTTTGCCTTGCACAGCAAAACTGTGGAATGAACTGTCTTCAACTTTACCGAAAGTATGCTACATACAAACCTTCAAGGAAAGAGAATTTCTGACTCCTCTAGTGTTACAGTCAAAAGTCAAAATCATTTATTCCAACTAAACCATAAATAGGTACTTTTGAAACGTCAAAATAGAAAAGTAGTCTGTCAGTCTGTTCGTCAGTGAAGCTAGGTGCTCATTCCAAATTGTAGATTCGAATGGAGAAGAACGAGCAAGAAACTCCATTCGGTAGTCTTTTTTTTAAAAAAAACAGCTATTAGCTGCCGCGCTAGTTGCCTACCATCACTTATTCCATTTACTTGTTTTCCTTCTAAGTATTATTTTGTTCTGGAGATTCTGGAGATTGGCTGAAGTATAAAAATATGCTTTAGACAATCTCTAGAAGTGTGCGTGCTAATTATTGCACATTTTAGGTCCGCCATTTTACAACAATATTTATGCACTCCAAAACATAGGTTTTATTTTGTTTATAATTTTTATTTTATTAATTGCCGAGCAAGGATTATTTGTTGTGGTTGAAAAAACTTAAAAGGTAACTACTAACTCGAAAGGTACTAGGTATACTTATATTCGTATTCGAGGATTCAAGCGCAATTTTGTTTCATGGCCTAGCCCAAAGCGGGTGATGGAACTTAGTTATTTTAGGTCAGTAAGTGTCACCCTAGGCAGGAGAAGCCATTAAAAGAGTTTCACCTCTCCAAAAAACTGATACTTTTATATTTTAATCATCATCTTTAAATAATAGGCCCTATATATATTCCCTTTCAATAACCTTTCACAAAGGTACACATGAACATGACACAAATGTAATTTCATTGAATTACCCTAAGGAAACTATACAGTTATTAAAGATCAGTAATTTACTGGACAGGTAATAAAGAACATTTCTTAATTACAATATTACTCCATTGAAAAAGTAAAAAGTATATTAACACGTACCGCTACTAGCTATATATAACATACAACGTTATAGTTTTTGTTAACGTCGAATATAAAGTTATTGATCCAAGTTAATGATGTCGTTAATTTATATAAGCATTGTCTCTTTTATCGCGTTATTGTGCATGAATTGAAAAAAGGGCAAGTCCAAAACAATTATTTATCAAGTATAATTAAAGGTGCGCCGGCGTCGAATTCCGCCCGTCGTCACATTTTGGTGCAGAGTGGATCGTTGATGTCTTTTGTAGGCGCTACGCTCAGGGTTACGAATATCATGTTTTCCGAAAGGGATATTTTTATTAATTTATGTGACTACACTATTAAACGGTTTTATTTGTAAATTGGTGCGCTTTATAGTCTCCATTGAAGGACTGTGAATGTAAAGTGAATTTACGATGCCTACTTTCAGTAACTTAAATTATATTTATGTAAAAAGCTAAATAGGTTTTGATAGGTGAATGCCACTAGTTATTTTGAAGTATAAATATATTATAAGCGTTTTTTAATGTTGACATTTATTTTTATTATTGATTTAAGTGACTAAGCTATGGTGTTATTTTTTATTTCTCCTGGTCTAGCCATTTTGATCATTTTGGCCGTTGTATAGTTTGCCGGCACACTGTTCCTCTGTCGTTAGAAATACTAGCAACCAGTTCCAGCTTCGCACTTGATGCTAAATGTCTACACTATTTACTAGATGTTATTAAGAATTCATGTGAATTCATCTTCCTCCCCAATCACTCTATCTATTAATAACCGGTCCAAAATCCGTTGTGTAGTTTTAAAGATTAATGCTTATACATAAAAGGCCAGACAACCTTCTTTACCTCGGTTCGTTTTGTTTCGAATCCCCACCCTTCCCCTTTTTTTCTCCTCCCCTATACATATCTCTCATTTCCTTCAACCACTAAATCCTATGTGGCTGACACAAATGTAAAGCATGCGATTACTTTGGTGTCTCGGTTTGAATGAGCAGCGCCTATAGCTTACTATCAGAAAAACCGGCAGACCGGCAGCTCTTTTACTGTCTTATCACATAAAAAGTTTTTAATATATTTATTTTGTTGGTGGATACACTGGGGACGGGCTATGTCAATGTAGGGTTGGTACTTGTTTTAATACTGGCTGGATGCGCCGGCTGAGCGCAGTTTGGCCTACGTACTGGCTGCGCCGTCGCCGTCGCCAGCTTCCAAGTCTTCCAACCAGCTTCTGAATGAAGCTACCTCCACAGTCACTCACACTAACATAAGCACACGTATATTATTTTTATTATTCAAGTATTATATTAGCTATACCTGTTCCTCTAATAGTGAGTTTTAATATCCAAGTCTGTGACGCGTAGGTACCGATTGTACCTACACTGTTTATTTTTATTTTATGTTGTGTACAATAAAGCGTATAATAAATAAAAAGTAAATGCATATCATTCCACGTGTAGTAAGAACATCACCTAAAATAACCGAAATTACTCTCACATTTATTTTATTTAATGCCTCCACTGTGTAAATTAAATCCTAAAACTAATAAGTATAAGGTTTTCATTTCGTTGCATCAGCTTTTGTTTTGTATTTTGGTTGTATAAAAAAACTTTTCTTTTTCTTTTTTATCAGAGGAGATTTTTAATTTGCATTTGTTACGTGTTTAATAGAAACTTGTAGAAATATTATGCTCCAATTAGCAATGAATGTCATCGCTCTCCTTTGCATTAGGTACGTTAAAACTGACCAACAAAAATAATTTAAGTAGGTGTGTTTAAAAAGATATATTATCGCTAGTGAAAAAACTGTTCATAAAGGAAAATTTGGTATTTACGGGACTTAAAGCACAACTTCTTTCGTAGCGCATCACTTAACCAATACTTATTTTTAAATGTATTTTATAGGAAACATGTATTTTATTGCAATTTCTAGTCGAATAGGTATAACATATACTTATTTAAGTAATTAGACACCGCGGTTAGTAATACCTCACGTAGGCCTGGGTACTTATGTTAGGTAGTTGCGTATGTACAAATGTACCTACAGTGCAAACTATATCTACGTGAGATTAGCGAGTGTGAGACTATGAGTGCAGTACGGGAAGGTGATTGCTTACCTTCATCTCCAGCTTGACAGCCAACACTTTGATCGTTATTATCTGCTGCGGTTCACAAAACAAAACATCAGCATGTGCACACCGTCATTGAACTGTCAGCACATGGCACCAGGGCACGAGGTGCGGGTGCGCGCGCGCCCGGACTCCGCGAGACTGCGGCGGCAGGCGCGCGTGCTGCTGGGGGCGGCGCCGCGCCCGTTCGTGCGCCCCGCCTATTGGCTGACACAACACCAGCCACGCCCCACTACCGCCCGTACTACCCTCCCCCCATCGTCTATGTAAACGTGTTCGTTGCCCGACGCCATCGACGTCCCACCGAAAAATTACTCCTCACTGAATTAATAGTTAGCCTGTACTATGCTCGCGTACACACAATAAAATATCGCGAACCGGCTCTGGCCGTGACGTATCTCATTCCAATTACGCAGAGAATTTCTGATTGAAAACCGCGGCTCTGTCAATATTTCCTATTCAACATTTGCATTTACTGGCAGTTAAAACAGGCCAATTGTGAAAAAGTCGCCTCGGGCTACACGTCGTTTGACGTGCATACTTCCTCGAGCTCGTGAGCTCGGCGTAGTTGGGAGTTGTTAGTAGCTACCTACAGAACAATTAGATACCTACGCACTATGCAATATCGACATACACGTCGGAAAGATTCAATCCCAATAAGTATCCCTATAGACTTCCAACTAATCGTCTATAGACAATTTGTTGAAATAATGTTTTCAATGCCTGTAGATCTATAAGATAATCTCTATGAATTTGAAAAGAAGGTAAAGACACATTATCTACCTCCTTACCTTGTGTACTTATCACAAGTACCCTGCGGTGTGCCACGTGTCACTTGACACGACACCGCTACATGTAGGTACAGTCATCGACATAAGTGCTTAGTCAACTTCAAAACAATTTCGCTTGCATCCAATAATTTTAACTTACACCACCCCAAGTGATCAATGAATGAACATCTGTCATTTTCAAACTGTATATTAAGATAGTTTTTATTGCTTTCTAAGTCTAACATGTTGAAAGTTTAAAAGTTCTTTACATATCCTTTAGAACGTCATAAGCGACAATCGCAAAATTGGCTGATTTGCTAATGTATAACCTAACCGACCAGAAAACGTCATAATTAAGAACACTGTTTGTTTTTTGGTACACAAATCCTAGTTATCCTAATCTTAGGTATCTTGGGTTGGAAGTCGCTAAGCTCTCATTTTGTTGATTATACGTTTGCAAACAATAATAATTATAAGTACTTACGCATTATTTTGCAGCAACCTTAGAAATAAACGATACATGAGTAGGTATATAGGTGTGATAATAAAATTCAATTAAATCAATTTAACTACATACTGTGTACTGATACCTATTGTTATCCTTTTTATAATATAATGATTAAATAAGTAAACTTTGTTCCGACTCAAAATCAATTAAGTTTAAAAGTCAAAATGCAAAATAACTGTTTCAATTGTTCACGACTTGATCCGAATTTTATCACGTCCTCACTTAAATCCGGCGTGAAACAACGCCGCGAAGGTGACACCTTTTCTTAAGGGGGAAAATACCATCTAATTACTTCGCACTGGGTGGAGAGAGACAGAGTGTGTAAGACTCTTACTGACTAAGAACCACTCGGTTTTTCTCCTGCTCCAAACCGGGTGGTACATTATTTCGCTTGAACCGCAACCGCCAATAAGTAACCATCTCTGTTCCCAAACCTCAAATCCCTAATATTTAAAATGCTGGCACCGCATTACAAACTAATCTAGTGTCCATAGGCGAAGCCTATTGCTTACGATACCTAAAGTGATCTGTGTGAATTATTGCTGTCCTAGACAATAAAAATTAGAGACCATACTATTGGATCTTTTTAGGTTTGAAAACTTCTATTTCGATCTTGTTTAAGATCTTGCAAGTTAATGGAAGACCAGTTTTTTGTTTTTTTGCGATTAGTCCTGATGGTCCTAATCAGCGTCGCCCATGGACACCCGAAACGATGGAGGAGTTACGAGTGCGTTGTCGACGTCTGGGGATTAGGTATTTGGAGATTTTTGGAAAGGGAACGGATTGGGATAGGGGAAGGATTGGGTCTCAGGTAACCTCACTCACACGGCGAAACACGACTCTGCTTATTTCACGCCGATTTTCTGTGAGGCCGTGGTATCACTCCGGTCGAGCCGACCCATTCGTGCCGAAGCATGACTCTACTACATTATTGTAAAGAAATACTTAAAGGAACGTTTTCTTACAGATTTGGTGAACGAGCAGATGGATATTAGATGGTGAGCAACCAGTTTTACTCATAAACAAACAACAACAGCAAAAGAGTTGCAAGTGCGTTGGTGCACTTTTGGGGTTTAAGGATTAAACCTCCTTAGTTTCACGAAACGCAACGCTGTGGTTTCACGCCAGAATGTGTACCTCAGTGGAAGCGAACTGAAATAGATGGGTCACAGGGCATCCACAGTGCTCCGCCATCGTTGGCATATTCGTGCCGAAACTTATTGTTAACTTATTATTTTGTATATGGTATTCTTATCATGACACACCCCATGCATCACATGGGTGCTGTTATGATTAGTTACATTGGAAAGTGTTGTCCGAAGATGGGTTTGAACCAGTCTGTTGCCACTGAGAATATGAAATGCAAGTAAATCAACATTAGTTTAACTTGAAGGCAATTTATTTTTTCAGCTCCACATAGATCTACTGATTGAAGCCACAGCCCATTAGGGTCCCTCCCAGGTCGGACAACACAAAATAAATTAAACTTTGCCTACTAATCCACATTGCATTAATAACCGCTTCAAATTGTTTGATTATAATATAATTGGGAATTTAGTGAGCAATCACAAGCGAACCAGTTTGGTTTATGGCACATATCCTTATATGGCAGAGCTACGACTATGTATGTGTACATACTACAAATAAACGTACTAAATGTGAATTTTTGTTGGTCGCTTCTAACTTTGACTGCACGGTTGGCGCGGTGGCTGGGCAACTGTTTGCGGCGCAACGTGTCGCGGGTTTATTCCCGCACGGAACAATCTGTGATCCACTTTTGAAAATTGTTGTTCCTGGTTTGGGCGTGATGTTTATGTGAAATTGTATGTTTGTAAACGCACCCACGACACAGGAGAAAATCCTAGAGTGAGGCAAAGTATTTATTTAAAAAAAGCATTTGTAATAAAAAGTAAGGACGGTATGTCGGCTTGGACGGGTGCGGGAGTGTGAGCCAAGTAGATAATGTCAGGGATTAGTGGGTGTCGCGTAGTCGCGGTGCAATCAGTGCTCTTGTGCCACCCGGCGACTCGCCGCGCCATTTGTCGCCCCCTCGACGAACTACAGAAGTCCCAGCAAAAAACGCCATACTGCATACGACATCTCTAGTCTATTTTACCGTAATATGTGTTCCGTGTCTTAATAAGTAGGAGCGTAAGTGTTGACAACTTGAGCGTCATTAATGTTTATTCTCAAAACGCTCAAGTAGTGCGGAATTTGATAGTTTCTTAAGTGAAAAACTTTTAACTTACTAATAAATAATCACTTTGTCATTCTTTGATTTGACCCTACGTTTAGTTTTCGTAGTTTTCTATGTGATTTATGAGAAATAAGTCGGCTTTTTGTCTTAGTTAGTTGTCGTTAATACTTGCTATTTTCGTTTTAAATGTGCTGAAAAAGGGAATTGAATTCGACTAGTAAGAAACTACCCTGTTGCAAATGACTAACACGACTCGTAATCGATCATTTTGTTATATATTGATTATTTTGTTTTTAAATTCTGAATGTAGTGATACGTAGTTAACAATATAATATCCTATTATAATAAAGGGTAAAGCAATAGAACAACAGTACTATATGCCACAGTAAGGTAGAAGTTCTGCGTTTTAAGTGCAGATGCCATCTTCTGCGATGTGCCTGCGAAGTGGTGACCGCCCGCTCTGAGCTCGTCATTAAACGATTATTGAGTCGGTGACGAGTGCCGAGTGTCCTCCGGATCTGGTTGATGTCCCCTACGACACATTTAATACGAAAATTGCTACAATAAACATCCCCTCACAATCTAGGGATCTGAAGTTTTAAGAAATTACATATAAATACTTAGATGCCTAGATATGTGTGTAGAACACGTAATTGTAATTCCCTATAACCCTCAATAAACCAGAGAATTGTTCCAGTGTAACTGCAAATAATAAAATAATAATAGTTACATTGTTTTGTTACATTGACGTGAACTATTTGGCGCTATGAAAATGGAGATAATTCAAACTTGTATCGGATTGGTTCCAACAACAGATCGTTAGTGTCCACTAGATAACGTTATCACATTCAAACAATGGAGTCTGTGGTGGATGCAGTGATCACGTGATCAGCCTAAACCGCCGCCGACCAGGCAGAATACTAAACAGACAGACATTACTGGATAAAATATTCTATGAACTTGCTACAACGCTATTCCGTATTCCAACCGCGGGCGGACCGGCAATTATCCGGCTTTCAGCAGAATATCCGGGACCGCTTCCGGCTGCCGGCGCACTTTTAATTTGACACTTGCGTTTTTTTTTCATTTAATCGGAAGGATCTGTGTCGAGACGCGGAATATCAATATGATTGCAGTTATTTCGACAAACTTCTCTTCTCTTTTGTGTGTGTTCTGAGGGGTATTTTTGCGACTTCAAATAAGCGCAAAGGTCAATGACCATTAATTTACCTAATTTTACGTCAATAACCTTCATCTTATTAAAACTATACTATTCTATTTAACAAAAAGGTTTCCTGTGCTCATTACTGCACTGACTGCCATTATAAGGAGGATATACGAGTAGGTGTCTCTCTTACTACTTACTGGTTATCCACTAGCCGCACAACTCCTCAATATCCCTAACCAATATAAAAATACTTGGACAAAAACCGAAGACTTAAGTCTAGAAGTATGTAGGTGTTCAATAAGTTATTTGCTAACTATAGTTTTGCCTCCTTGGTCGAGTGGTCGCAAGCGCAACTGGTGAGTAAGATGTTTTGATTTTCATTCCGGATCGTACAAATTATGATTACAGTAGCGTCACAGAGTATGAGTTATTGTCTATTTTTCTTAGTAAAAAGAAATTATTTCAACTTATTAAACCATAATAATACGTTACATACGTGCATTAAGTTAATTCAAGAGAAATAAACTTAATTGCTACTCCGTTACTCGTGTATGCTGTTTGACGTTATAATATTATGACGCGCTATTTCATAGAAAATTCACGGAATATTGTAAAAAAATATTCAATTCGAATAGTTGGTATTGTGCCCGAAATATGGCACTAGACCCACCGCTAATATATGGAGCTCCTAAAAAAATTACTGGTGAAACGTACGTACATCCCTGCTTACCCCTTAAGGTAATATGCTATCACGGTAACAAAATATTTCTGAAGTGACAATAATAGGATTGCTTTTAAACACTATAAAATTTTAATGAAGAAAATTGTATATTGCGATAACGTAACGCCCCATTTACATGGGGTATGTTTCTTATTTATTGTTTACAATTAATTAAGGATGAGTGGAGCGCATTCCCGCCCCCAAATATCCAATCCTCAAATCCCCAAAAAACTCACAAAAGCCAGCAATGCATTTGTAAGTCCTTTGGTTGCATGGACACCCATACACTACACAACTACAACTAGCGATGGCAACATTATAGGGAACTGTTTACTTGCATCTTCATGTTCGAGGAGCCCTTCTCAACCTATGAACGATAGCGCAAACGAATAATTATGTTGAGTATCCAGGATTTTCAGTAACTAGACACAGCTTTTTTACGCCACCTCTCCACGCTGGTTTTCCTTGAAAAGGAGGTATCTACGTATAAAGCCAATTAATAATAATGAATATGAATTTATTTTTGTAACAAAACCATAAAATAGTATAATTATATATGAAAACTAGATGAAAATATCTTATATAAACTATAAACACCAAGAAAATGGTATCATGTAAACAGCCTTTTTTGAGGGGGGAAATCATCGGATGGGGCAAGAGGGAGACTCATAAGTTCGTTTTCGCCATGTCCTGCGAAACTCATTACTGATATGATAAATATTTATTTGCATGTAAATTTTACAGTAACGAGTGATAATCACATTGATGCCGAAATGCAGAGAAGAAAAAAAATATTGATATATTTTAACAATAATAAATTAAATTTATTTTAACCGAATCATTGGAGAGGACTATCGAAATCTTTAGTTCTGTGAACATCAAAACATGTTGCAGTGACATGATACAAGGTTAAATTTACACAAACAACCATATCTGATAGGTTCTAATATGTTATATTTGTATTCTTGATGTATTTCTATGTTCAGAATTATGGCCTTCCATAAATATAGCTTTTTTAATTTTAATTTTAACCATTTTTTTAACGATTGATATCTTTTACATTGTCCAAAGCACTTGTCCATTCACTAGCTTACTTATCTCTTGTTACCCTTTTGCACTCATTTGCGTTTATTTGGATCCCAATTACGAGTACAAATCTGCTGTACACAAATGTTTGTTAAGTGAAATATGACAAGGTAACAATTAAAGTTTGTTTACAAATAATACGCGGTATTGTTATACCTTCAACAGTATGATACCATCTGCGCAAGGATACAGCGAGAGATCCCAATCTCCTCTCCGCCCTTCCGCGAGATGATGGGAACACAATGACAATCATACCAATTACTAATGTCGCCGCAGTCAGCAGGTGCAGGGAAATGATATCAATCTATATTTTGGTTACACATAATTATAATTACAATGTGAAGGCAGGCGTGGGTAATTAACGAAGCAAAAAGAAATATACTTATCCATTTTCTTCTAATTTAATCCGCAAATTGATTTGTAAGCTGTAGATATTTTAGGGAAATAAATTTTCTTTTTGTTTTTTTTTAATGGTATACAAGCTGTCGGTTCACGTTTTGGTAAGCAATCGGCGCCACTCGTGGACACTCGGAAGATCACGGCAGTTACTAAAGTGCGTTGCCAACTTTTTGACGGTAATTAGAGATTTGTGGTTAGGGGATTAAGCATGGGCAGGCAGATTAGGCCGCCTCCGGTAACCTTACTTACACGGCTAAATACAACGTAAGTGTTGTTTCACAAAGGTATTCTCTGAGGCCGTGGTATCACAACGTTTGAGCTAGCCCATTCGCGCCAAAACATGTGTTGATGGGGTGTCATGGACGCAGGAACTCAGTCAGTTATATACACAAAGTATTGGAATGTTTGTGTGTAGGGTGTCGGTTGCAATGTTTAGCAACAAGTTTTATGTGCACTTGTGCAGCGGCAAAGCAAACAGCGCCACAGTTTGCGACCGAGATTACTGCCCCCTCTGAATACGTCAAAATAATCCTACACGTGTATATGAACTGTGTAACGAAAACAGAAATAATTCAATTAAAACTTGCTGCGACAATATTTGGACATTAGCTTTCGCTGTGTTTCAGAATGGTGGGGATAGAGTGGCTTGAATCAACAAAGCAAAGCTACACTAGTTTCAGGTCACAACGGGAATCTTATTCATAAGCAGTGTGCGCGTCGCAGTGGCTTCACGCAGCCGACTCTTATTTTCAATTAATTGAGTTTGCCCCACAATATATACTATTAAAAAAACATAGAGTCAGAATATTTCAAGATCTATCATACTCATCATATCAGCCGCAAAACTTCTACTGATGAACGTGTGAGTTCCTCTCATGATTTCTACATTATCCGGCGGGATGCAACCGCTTTAACGAGCGTCTTATTACAACTTTTATTTGGCCGCCTTCAATATACCATTTTCCGACATTAGAAAATCTTGTGCCAAATATTAACAAACGCTGCATAATTATTATAATGATACATAATAAGATATTATGGTCAGCTGTCAGACTACCCGAATTACCTAATTGCCGTGTTAAGTGGCACTTGACGGACAAATTCGGGACACTTAGTCTCAGACAGCGGAGCCCTCATCACGTTTAGTGCCACTGCGGGGGGTATTTAGATCAGACGCTTCACGTATTTATAACACTTTAACACATTGTAAATGACACTACTTATACATACGTATAATTTTTTTACAGCTGTGGACGTTATAATTTTTAGCGGTTTGTTCATTTTGTTTAAACCTAGGGATGGCGACATTTGGCGCGTCAAATTGCACCGTTTGATCAGGCCTTTGTGCGCCTTAAGACTATTAGGACAACAAGATTACACGGGAGGCGCGCGCGCACCCGACCGAAGCAATGCGATTACATCGCAAGCCCCCGAGCCTCGCCCCGCCGCGGCCCTCGCGTGTCCCCTCGCACGCCTTCCAGTCCTGCTCCAACCCCAAGACATCACTACCCCTATTTCTTGATCTGTAACTGGATTTTGTCCGGGAAAGATTGTGGAGCGTTAAAATGTCCACCATACGTACTATTTCATTTTTAAATTCATGATGCGGTGATGGGGTATAAACTACATACATTATGTGACCACGCAATTGCCGCAATGGGTTCTGTGGCGCAACGTGCGTTGGATCGATTCATTAACTAACAATCAATAACATACCAACATGAAATAGAATATATATGATAGAAATGACAACAAAAATAATTACGCAAACGTAGTTCAAATATTTGGCAAAAAATTGTTCAGAGAGCATCCCTCAATTATTTCATCCAACTCTTACGTAATCTTACTTAGAAAGCAGTAACAATGTAGTATTTTAGGGCCCAGCATAAATTTTTTAATTGTTTCGACACAAGATGTTCTTTGCGTATTTGAAAATAGGGTTGGTTTTAGAATGTCCCCTGTGATCCGGACCAGTGAGGTAGGGGTGTGAATATGATAGTCCCGCAGGACTTGTTAGTGTATTAACAGCAGTTTGCGACGATCGCTCGTGTTATTGTTTCTAATGTGACGTCCCTACGGACAGCCGCTCGCTAGCTGGGACACAATCTATTATTTGTTTGTTTGTCCCAAACACAGTGACATTAAATAAATATACACGTTTGTAATATATTTCTAAAAGCTTGTTTATACTTAAATAAATTCAAATATTGTAGTATAAATTAAGCCACCCGAAGGTCTATCTGCATATGAAAATGTTATATTTGCAAAAAATCATTTTAGAAACGAAGACAGGAACTAGGAATTTACTATTAAAAAAAAACACTAATCCAATAAAAACAAATTCATGATAATATGTAAATTGTTTGGTGTCTGGGCTTCTCCCAATTTTAGTTGGCTCTTAAGCCATTCTGCCTGGGAAGTAAAAAATATTTAGTCTTTTTTATTCTCGTCAAATAATTCCTCCTACTGATTTATTTCGTTGCGGGATCCAAGACAGTCGTTCATATCAATTTACTATCAGATTTCAGAATTTTTATAGCTTTTTTTGCATAGCTTATACTAAAATTACTTATAATATATCTAATTCTAAGACCTAAGATATTTAGTTAAGCTGTTAATATTTCCCTTTCTCTTTTATATCGAACACAAAGACTTTGAGTTTGTTTCGACTTTCATTCTCAGAGTAGCCAGATAGGGAATTCCGGCTTCATCTAGATATTTTTCATGTTAAAGAAGTGCAAATGAGCTGATTGAGGTAACCTCACACACACAGCGAAACACAACGTTGAGGTTGTTTCACGCGGGTTTTCTATGAGGCCGTGATATCACTGCAGTCGAGCCGAAGCATAGCTTTCCTACACTCAATATAGTGTTGACGCGTAAAAGTGCAATCTATGGCCTATTTTCTCCAGCCAGTGACAGGTTCTTTTCATCGTCCACTGTACCCATAGACCCATCTATGGGTATTAATATGGGTACTAAGCTAAGATTTTACGGAACGTCATCACACGCGTGTCTGACGATTCCGTGACGTCTCTGTATTTAATAACATATGAGAATTTATGGAGACCACCTTCTTTCTAGTAACTTTAATAGTTTTCCTTAATAAAAGCTTTAAGTAGTCACAAAAACTGAAAAATATGATGGTGTGTATTACATATGTATTATATATCGGTAGGTAAATTTTGTTGTCTGTAAGTACTAATATAAAAACGATTTAGTTTTGAAGTAATTTTATTATAATATTAAAGAATTTAGTTATTATACGATTGTTTCTCTTTTAAGAGGATTTGTAAAAACTAAAAATTCAATATTGAAACAAAAAAGATCTTTAAGCACAACAGTTACTTTTAGATCTTGTCTTTATTAATTGGAGCAAGATATTCCATGTGAGGTTCAGTTTGTATCACAGCAGAAACTACTACCATGTCGACAAAAAGTTGAAATCGAATTTGCAGCATCCAAACCAAAGTGTTCACGTAATTGTATCTCACGAATCGATCATCCAAAGTTATTCGAGTCACGTCTCTGCCGTCTGTGATACTGGAATAAACATTGGGAAAACGCTACAGTTTCAGTGAGCGGTAGTCCGAGGTGAAAGACGCGGGGCACGGAGTGCGGGGAGTAGGAGAGGGGGCAGATGCGGGAGGTTCGAGATTAGATTACCTGCCCCCGTGGGCTGCAAACACTTCGTTACCGGCGCGCCGCGCGCCGCCGCCACGCCGTAACGAACTCGATACGTAGCGACTGCACACCCGGCCGGAATTTATTATACACTAGTTGTGATTCTGCCGAGGTGCGCACTGCCACGAGCTCGCTACCACTCTGACGAAACAGCGAAACTACTACTACTACCTACTGTACTCTCTGAAACTAACTAACTGGGAATAGTTACCAGTAACCAGACCTAATAAATAGAACGGACTACGAATAATTTAACTCAAAGTACTTACGCTGTATCAATACCATGGTAACTTTGACAAATGCTAAATGTAGATAATATCTCAGGCATGTTTGTTCATACCATTGAGATAAATACCCAATCGACTTGAGCTTTAATTCATTCATTAAATGGCTGCTTGATTGAACCGATTCATTTACTGCTGAGAGATTCAATAAAGCGTAGGTACGCTGCAATGTAACGATGACAAATAAAGGGACATCTCGCGTCGCCAGGAGCTAGTGCAGTCGGTAATGTGTGCAGCATGCGCTGCGCGCTGAGCGGCTCCAATAAATATATTGTAACAGAGCGGATGGCAGCCGCACTGCCGCCCCGCCGCCCCGCACGCCTCTGTTGAATAAATTTGAATAACACAGTGCGTAATGAGGCGCCACCGCGCCACCGCCACCGGAGCGCTGATGAGTGAGAATCGAACCCCGGACCTAACTAAACAATTGTCATTCATTCAGCCGCGAGTCAATTCTGCGATCCTTTTGAATAATAAATCCATTTGGTATTCCATGCGCGCCAATCATGGCGGAGCGCGGTTCGGCAAGCGAGAGCGGTACGCTGCTGATACTGCTTCAGTACTTACTGAAGTAAGTGTACTGCTAACTAAATAAGAGTATACCTACGAACAGGTGTAAGCTGTGTCCGCGAAACGATATCATCTCAAGCTCAGATGAGTAAGATCAGCTCAATGGGACAGCTTTTACAGATCTTGGTACTGTCTGCCATGTGCTGGAGGGGGAGGAGGGTTAGTGTTTACACACGCCGCGATTTATTCGCCCGACGTCGTAAATAACGCGGCCCAGCGTCGACAGATATATGGAGCCTCGTATTTATCGCTATTTGTTCGCGGGTACAGCCAGCAGCCACGAAATGGACTTAAAAATAAATAAGAGATCAAACAATTTCGTGTTAATTGATTTTTACTTCAGATGACCTGAACCATGTCTGCACCAAGTATTGCTTAGAGTATTAGGTTGCATGTCGGCCAGGATGTCTCAACAGGTTAGGTCGGTGAGACAATTGTGAAACTTTAATAGGCACTATGAAACTTATCGTTTGTATTGATTAAAACAACAATAGTGAAAGAGACGACGACTCACACATGAAATACACGATTCAGGTCACTGCTTATTTATTTTTGTTCTGACCGTACCCGCGGCCTACACACGACCATACTGAATGTGAGGATTTTTTCACGCAGCAGCTCAGTCCGGCTGCATTAAACCACTTCATTGTAATACTTAGATATTTAGTAGTGGTACAGCGAATAAATTACCCCCATAATGAAAGCCAGTTTTTTCATCAACAACCGACAACATTTTAAGCCGTTATCAACGGCCGGCTGGCTAAGTTATGGCCGTGAAACAGAACGCATCCCGCCGTCGCGCTTTTTGCAGTATTCTCATAATCAAATTTTGATTTACTGCGGCCTGAGTTATTAAAATCCTTTTAGTTCTGCCTGAGGTCGAGTCATCGAGCGGTGAGGAGCTGGCGGTCTCGAGCCCTATATGTGGTGTCACAATGTAACGTAATTGAAAAACAAGTTGAAATGCGCAGCGCTATCGCTGATGTAAATCAACGAGGGATTATGTTCCTAAAATCAGAGTGCCGCCGTAAATAATGCGCGGGAGTGGCGCGGAGGTAAGGCGCGCCGTGTCAGATCGCTTATACTTAAATCATACTTACTGGTAACGAAGCGTAGAGGGCGCGTGCGCAGACATGGCATACGCTTGTACCAAATGTCACCTGTGACGTGCTTGCGGGTTATATGCGACATTCGCAACATAACCACAAGTGGGCGGGGGTGACAAAGACAGGAATGCCTAAAATAAAAAATGGCGTGTTTTTCATTGGAATTCAGTTTACATTTAACTAAGCCTTTTACTTTTTATATCTGGTATTTCAGATAGCATTCTAGATGGATTATAGAATGTGTAGTTAGTAGGGTCTACTTGTAGCCTCTATAGACAGCGTTACCCTGGCGGAGTGGTTACACTTGGTCTCGTAGTCGTCTTGTTGTAGAGTATGAAAACAGCGTAGCCGTAGCGTTATCGCTAGACAATCTTGGCATGTCTTTTATCTTAAAGTCGTCTAAAAATTGTAAGTAAAATTATTTACAATTAAGTGTTCAAATAATCGATGTTAGCTTATAACTAAATTTTAATATATTCTTTGTATGTATATACGTAAATGTCGTGGTGGCCTGGAGGTTAAGGAGCCCGCTTCTCATGCATGAGAGTGTGGGTTCGAAACCTGGCAAGTACCAATGTGACTTTTTCCGAGTTATATGTACTTTCTATGATTATTTAGACACCACTGACATACGGTGAAGGTAAACATCGTGAGGAAACCTGGACTTATAATTTCTAATTGTAAGTTTGAAATCGCCAACCCGCATTGAGCAAGCGTGGTGATTAATGCTCAAACCTTCTCCATGTGAGAAGAGGCCTTTGCTCAGCAGTGGGCACTTATAGGCTGATGATGATGATGATGTATATACGATCTATATGATCTGAAAAGACATACCAAGATTGTTTATCCTTAAATAACCACGTAAAAAACGTGGTTAT